TAGAGGAAGGAGGCATGGACCCTCAGTTGGGCATTAATTGCTGAGGCATGTGATGTGACTGCAGGCTGGGTTTTGAAAGGTGAACACAGTCTGCCAGCTGGAGAGAGGCAGGAGTGGGGTCCCGTCAGTTTTCTCTTACCTCTTTCTGACCCCTGACAGAATGTCCAGGCACATTCCTCAGAAGGTCACAAGATCATAGGGCTAGAAAAGTCTGCAGGCCCCTCAGAAGGTCACCAGAGCATGACTTCTGCCCAGAGACTGGGGCACTCTCCCCGGACTCCTCAAGGATACTGGTTTCAAGCAGTTTAAAGGGAAAAAGAAGGAATTCTTAAGACAAATCCAGCCAATCTCATCACTTTGCCTCGGGAAGACCTTGATTTTGGGCCAGGATTTAGTGCATTTGTCTAATCCTTTCATGGAAGGAATTAACATGGAGCACCTGGCTATTTGCTTTATTTCTATCTAAAGCCACTGGCTACACTTGAAGTTAATTATATTGAATTTTTTTTTTTCGTTCTTGATATCCCACACAAAATTTCCTCAACTCTGGAAATCACCTTTCCATAATTAAGAGCACAGATTCTAGAACCAGATTGCCTGGACCCATGTTCTAGTTCAGCTACAAGATGTAGACCCTATTCCTGCCTCAGTTTTTCCAAGTGTAAATTAGGATAATTATGGTCTCTACTCCACTGAGGTGTTATGGGGCTTCAGCAAGCTGGTCACATGAGGTTTTTAGAATAAGGTGAATAGCAAGTGCTCAGTGAAGACTGGCTGTTATTCACCCGCTTACTGCACAGCACCTGACCCAGGACTGTGAATTACAATGTAGAGGAAGTGCTGTCTGACCCAGCAAGGCAGTTCAGAACCTACCAATCAACTGCAATATTCACCAAGGGCCAACTGGGTACCTGTGAGTTCTGTGCCAGACACTGGGAATACTAAATCCAATAAAGAGTGGCCCCCATCCTCAAGAAACCTAAGGCCTAGTGAGAAAACTAGACACCATCTCTTCCTTAACATGTACAATGGCATGATTTGTACCTCGCTATACTATGAAATGTCCTCACAGCCTCTCAACAGGTTCCCGGAACAGGCATCATCCTCCCCACTTCCTGCACAATAATAAAATGTCTATCGGGAAACGCTGTTTGCTTATTAAGTGTCATTGGCACCTTGGCATAGGAGGTCATCTTTTTTTGTTTTGTTTTTTGTTTTTTTTGAGACAGAGTTACGCTCTTTTTGCCCAGGCTAGAGTGCAGTGGCACGATCTCAGCTCGCCACCACCTCTGCCTCCCCATTTCAAGCCATAAGCGATTCGCGATTCCCCTGGTCAGCCTCCAGAGAAGCTGGGATTACAGGGACATGCCACCACGCTCAGCTAATTTTTGTATTTTTAGCAGAAACGGGGTTTCACCATATTAGCCAGGATGGTCTGGAACTCCCGACTTCATGATCTACAGGCCTCGGCCTCCCAAAGTGCTGGGATTACAGGCGTGAGCCACCATGCCCGGCCGAAGGTCGTCTTTCCATAAGTTCACCTCGAGGGGAGATGTCTAAGTAGACCCTGTTTTCCTCCTGCAGCGATGGGTTGTAACGAGTGCCATGTTTGTGTCCCTGTGTGTTAGGTTTGGAGGAGACCAGCCTGTCTACATCAACATCATTAGAGACCCCGTCAACCGGTTCTTATCTAACTATTTCTTCCGTCGCTTTGGAGACTGGAGAGGGGAACAGAATCACATGATCCGCACCCCCAGCATGAGGCAGGAGGAGCGCTACCTGGTAAGTCATGCTGCAAGCAAAAGGTGGTCTCCCCACCGCCCGTCCTGGGCTGTCTCCGGGCACAGCGGGGGAGGCTCACTCTCGCCTTCCGCGGCCTTCCGGTGGCGCCTCCACCGAGCGTGGCACAGGGAGGGCGCTTCCGCCGGAAGGAGGTCTTGGTGAGAGAAACTGGTTCCAGGTGACCCAGACCCTAATGAACATTTCCTCAAATGATTTTCTGATTTTGCTTTGCTCAGTTGTCTTTAGTGCTAGGTTTGGGGTCCCAGAGCGGAAACAGTCTTTCCTGAGTCCTGACTAGCACTGACATGGTTAAGAGGAACAGAGGTGTTGGGAGCGTCTGTTAGAGGGTGGCAGCGCCCCTTCTCATCCCTCAGCCCATTCAGTTCCCATGGCAACCGGGGGACGGAGAGGTGTCTTCAGATGAGGACCCTGAGATTCCAAAGGTCGTGGGATTTGCCACAGTCATCTCTCAGATAAAGGCACAACTGCGACCATCCCCTGCCTTCAAGGTCTGCGTTCTTTCCACCACAGCACGATAGAACCCTGTCATTGTAGCAATAATTGTTTGCTTTCTCTGAACTTGTTTTGAGACCCTCAGCTCCATAAGGGATGAGCCCAGTAATTATTTCTGCAGCACAGAGGTTGGTAATAAAAATGGCGTGTGGAGTTGCATGTCTTTCTTTCAGCACTAGAACGAAAGGGACATTTCCCATCCCTGTGTTGAGAAATACTGAGATGCTGACAGCCTAGTGCCCAGTAGGCTGAAATCCTGGTCTCTGTCTGAGAGAGCCCTTGGGGTTCACCCGGACCCGTCCTGGGCTGTCTCCAGGCACAAGCAGAAAAGAAGGAAGTGTTGAGGATCACTCAGATGTGTCGCTCCCAGGGCTGGAAGACTGCTCAGTGCTGAAGCCACTGCTGATATGCCCTCCACAGCAGCCTGGCCGCTGGAGGAAAGCAGCTAATCTCGGGGCCACGGCCAGGACAGCTGCTTCCTCATCTCATTTTAAAAACATAATGGAAGGGGGTGTTCAGAGGCTGGGAGTGTTTCGGGATGATGTCCCCTCAGTGTTATGTGCATGTTTTCAAATTCATTATTGGAGAAAACTGAGATACAGAGAAGTTAGTGTCTCTAACTTCTAGGGCTAGACGATGACACCAGACCCACGGCTTTCCACTCACCTTCAGTATTTCATCCACTGCCTAAGGCTTCAGTGAAGTATTTTGGTGATATATTTTTTATTTTTATTTTCTTCCATTGATGATCTATTTTAGAAGTGGCTTTATTTTTTTATAGCCAAACCCTAATCTATTTCTTTATAGGTTATGAAGTTGGGCACAGTGGCTTACGCCTGTAATCCCAGCACTTTGGGAGACCGAGGCAGGAGAACCACTCTTGGCCAGGAGATCATTCTGGCCAACATGGTGAAATCCCATCTCTATTAAAAATACAAAAATTAGCCAAGCATGGTGGCACACACCTGTGATCCCAGCTACTTGGGAGGCTGAGGCAGGAGAATCTCTTGAACCCAGGAGGTGGAGGTTGCAGTGAGCTGAGATCACTCCACTTCACTCCAGCCTAGGCACCAGAGTGAGACTCCATCTCAAAAAAACACTTTTTAGTTAAAAATAAATAAATAAAAATTTAAAAATAAACTATAGGTTATAAATATGACCATATTTTTTTTTATTCAGTGAGATGTGTAATTGTAGTATAGAACCACTTACTGGAACAATAATGTCATCTCTATCTTCATTATTTGTTTTGGATCTTGATTAATATAGCTATATGTTCTTTTAAAAACAGCATACATTCCATTTAATCCAGATAATTCTTTCATAGTTCTGATTCAATCCTCATGCTGAGAAAGTTAGGACCAAAGGATAGCAGAAAACGCTGAAAAATCAATGATATTATGAACACTGCTCTTCAAATATTAATGTAAGAGTTGAGAGAAATGCTCTAGCTTTTTTTGCTCTGTCAAGCTTTTGTTGCCATCCTATAAATCATTTCATATAACGTAGTCTTCACACACTCACACAAATAATAAGCTGCAATCATTAGAGAGAAAGGTGGCAAATGTAAGGGAAAAAATATGGTTTGGAGTTTCTATTTGTTTGTTTTTGTTTTTGTTTTGAGACAGAGTCTCACTCTGTCTCAGTCTTGTTCTGTCTCTCTGAGTCTGCCCAGGCTGGAGTGCAGTGGCGACGTCTCTGCTCACTGCAGCCTCCACCTCCAGGGTTCAATCCATTCTCCTGCTTCATTCTCCCGAATAGCTAGAACTACAGGCACCTCCCACCACACCCAGCTAATTTTTGTATTTTTAGTAGAGGTAGAGTTTCACCATGTTGGCCAGGCTGGTCTCAAACTCCTGACCTAAAATGATTCACCCACCTTGGCCTCACAAAGTGTTGGGATTACAGATGTGAGCCACCGCACCTGGCTTGGTTTGGAGTTTTTTTAAAAAAGTCATAAAATGTTGAAAGTTAGTAGTTGGGGTAAGTCTTATATTTTTGAAGAGCTGGTAACCGCCTTTATTATGTGACTTGAGAGATTGTAGGGAGATTTCCCTGCTTGGAATTCTGCCCTTAGAGATTTGTAGGGGACCCTTTTCAAATGTAAGCACTGTGTTCAGGAAGGGTCTATGTCAGATGAGGTCATGAGATCGATCCTTGGCAAGACACCAGCAGGAAAGTATGGGGCTCCCCAAAACAGCACAGCAGAAACCCAGGGGGCTCAAGAGAGAAGAGCTGGTGAGCTGGTGGGGGGAGTGTGTCCCCTTCATGATCTAGTTCCACCCTGACCTGGTTAGAAGGCTGCCTTCTTGTTCAAAGGATAGTTTGTTTATTTGGAAGAAGATGGTTTATTGCCTTTTTTTAATAGCTGAAACTTTTAATTCCATCTCCTTGGTCCCATTAGACCCTTGAAATAAAATTGCCCCCTTTCAGAAGGGTCTGTCCTGATTTTGGCAAAGCCTGGGTGGTCAGTTGTTTGACTCAAAAGAGGGTGTTGTTTGTGTCTCAGCGGGGTACAGGCAGCTGTGAGGAGCCCACTGTCCCCTCCTCACAGGCCACCCCTCCCGTCGGAGGCCTCTCCCTACACACCGCAGGCACAGGGTCTTGGGTGCTGGCCTGAAATGGGTCTGCTGATTTACCACATCGTTCCAGATCTCAGTGCTCCAAAGCCCCTTGCTTTATCCAGTTGCCAAAAATCGGACAGTTCTGCTCCTGGCCCTGAGCCTTACAGAGCTGCTTAGCATACAGCTGGGAGCAGCCAGTGCCTGCCTCTGCGCCTGCTCTTGGGGTGAAATAATACCATCTTGTGAGGCAGGGTGGTTTGGAAGAAAATGGAAAGAGTAAAGGAATCCTGGGATTTGCAGGAACCCCAAGGAGGATGAGGACACTCATTTTACAGGTGTGGAAATAGGGCTGGGATTCGGGGTGGGGTAAAGTCCCTGCCAGGAGGAGAAGCCAGACCTCCTGACTCCACCTTGGTGCTGTTTGCCCACTCAGACCTTACATTTTTACCTCCCAAAGGGTAAAGGGAGAAGAGGACTGGGCCGAGTCCCATGCTTTTGAAGCAGAATCATTTTATGGAACATTGTCCATCTGTACAAAGACGTCGCTGTTACAGCAATTTGTTTTCAAATATGCAGGCATCTTATAGCTACTCCTTATTTTGTGGGAACAACTAGGCTTTCTCAAACTTTCTATTTCTTTTCAAACTCTTTCTTTGCATTTGCTGAAAAATCATTTTTTAAATAAATTAGTGCTCGCATAGATGCAAGTTCAGCTTCTAGCAGCCATACTGTAAAAAGGCAGTTGTCTTAGGTTCATTTCTTTTTGACCATAGCCGGAAACTCCCCAGTGCTGAGGTGGCTGCCTCCTTTTTGGGGGTGAGGGTCCTCTGAACCCAGGCACACTTGAACACATCCCAGGACCTGAGACTCTTCTCCAGCTCATATCCAGCCTCCTTTATTTCCAGGGTAGTGAAATACCTGGCACACAGACCATATTTAATGGCAGAATGAATGATGGAAAGCTTTTTCTAATGAAGAGCAACTGTTGTCATTTCCAGATGAGGGAGGGCATCTTATTCCTGCTGAAGCCTCTTCCTTTTCTAATCTCAGAGCTTCCATGAAAGTGGATTTCTTGTGCTGTCATTTTCACCCGGCTGGTAACACACATCAAGTTCTCAAAAATGTCAAATTGGGCTCCTGCCCTAACCATTATTGCCACTTCACTAGGCCATTCTCCATTTGAAGAATAGGAAGAGAAGGGAGAAAATTTTCCCAGAGGAAACACTGCCTCTGTGATACTATTTATTCGGCTTGGCTGTAAAGTGTGGAAAGTAATGCATGTTTAAAAGAAAAGATGCGTAATTTACAGCTTCTTAATTCATAAAGAATTTGGTGAATCATGTTGGCCCTGTTGGATTCTGGAGAAGTCTGAAAATTGGCCAGAGTCAGCAAAGGTTTTTAGAAAGCTATGCATTTTAATCTACTTGAAAGTTTTGGACTCAGAACGTCCTTTAACTTTGAAAGTATACATATGAAACACTGGTGTATGGAAATTTCCACTCTGTCTCGACCAGCTGAGACTGTCCTGTGAATGAAAGAAACCTCAGGCATTGCCTCTATTCCTAAAGCATCATTTTTCGTAAATAAATAAAATGAAGAAGGGCTTTGGATTATCTGCTTTTTAAGTGTTTCAGTAAATATCTATGTTTTCCAAATCTGGGAAGGTAAGAAAGTTAGTCTCTTGGCTTTCAACTAGTTCAGATTTAGCTTCCAATTGCAGGCTGAGCTAGGGCCTCATGATAAGATGCATTTATATTCCCTTCTCAGGGAATATAAGAGAAGCCTTAGCTGGGTGACTTGGCCTGGGAGTTAGCCTCTCAAACCTTGCTTGTCCCTTCTGTACGATGGGACCACATCACCTAGTTTGCCTGCATTACAGGGTTGTTGGAGAGTCAATTGAGCGTTCCACACAGAAGTGCTTTGGAAGCTAAAACTCTCCAGAACACATTTCAGTATTGATACTCCTACCCCCTTGGCTCTGTTACTGGCTCCACGTGACCTAAAGGGGCCATTTTTTCCTACAGACCTGGAGCTCCTCTGCTCAGGGAGTCCACAGGAGCTGCTGCTGTCCTGGGGCTCAGGACATACTGGGTCCTGAATCCTCAGGTCTACTTCTGCTGTGGTCTCAAATTGCCTCACTAGACTCCTTCCCCTGGGAACTCGTTTCTAAGGAAACTGCTTCTCTTTGTGTTCCCAACAGCTGGAGATGTGTTTTGATCCCAGCCCACTGGCATACATTTGTCCTGTGTTTATTTACTTGGAAACCTAAGCTCCTGTAGGCCCTGGGTTGGAAAGTCGTATACACGCACACTCTCCCCCTTCAAGGGGTAACGAGAAAGGCACGCCAGAGCCGAATGCTCTGCCAGGCTGATGCAAACCATCCAGGAGCATGGAGGACCAGGAAGCCCCTGCTTCAGAGATATGCTGTGAAATACATTTGTCCTGGGGAAATGTGAACTCCTGTGTCCTCCTAAAGAAGGAGTCACAGGAGTTTTTAGGACCAAAGGCCACTTCTGGGGGTGAGCAAGACCCGAGAGTATCCCTGGGGATTCTGGCAAACAGAAAACAAGATGGGTAAAGTAGGGGGCAAGGGAGGAGAGGAGGAACCAACAAAGGGATTTTGGAGCTAGAATAGAATGCAACCCTCTGCCACCTGTGCTACCACCAAACAGCAGCAGCCATGTGTGTGGCATGTAGCAGGTTAGCATGCTTTGCCTCATGGTGGGGCATCCGCCCTCACAGCCTCCCCTGGTGTAGCTATGAGCACTCCACAGTCCCCTCTTATGGACCAGGATGGCGATCCCAGAGAGGTTGAGAGGTGGTTAAGATCAAACCAGCAACAAGGGGGAGTTGCATGAGGCTACCTTAGTTACAAGGGGCTTACGATTCACTCAGCTCACCTCTGGTAACAAGAGCCAGCGGGCAGGAGAACTGTGGAAGTGAAGACAAAAGGATGGCAGGCCAGTGAAGACCAGGAAACGCCAGGAAAAGCCAGGCCCCAAGGGAAGCGTGTAACCCACAGCACAGCCAAGTCACATGGAAACTAGAAGTTGTTGAGACTTAGAGCCACATCCAGCACCCAAGTATCAGTGGCCAGGCTGCACCAGTGTTCTCAGTTCTCTTCAGCCATCTTCAGAGACACCAACCTTGGATTGAGCCCCTCTCATGCTTCACTCCTCTCCTTCTTCCATCTCATTTCTCTAGCCTAGCTGGAAAGGGCTCCGCTTTTAAGGACTTACGTCATTAGATTGAACTCACCCACCCAGATAATCCGCCATAGTCTCCCCTCTCAAGGTCTGTAACCTTACTCACATTCACAAAGTTCCTTTTGCCATACAACGTAACATAGTCACAGGTCCCAGGGATTAAGAAATGGACAACTTTGGGGTCCATCATTTTTGCCTACTACAATGTAACCAAGGACGACTTACTCAGCATGGGGCAGAGAGGACTATGGAGAGGATGTAGGTGTGACAGGCATTCTGACACTTGGCTATTCCACTTACAGGTGCTTGCCACTGTGCATTCTACTGTGCAGTGGCACCAAAACATGGCTGTCCTGTCCCTGATCTGCAAAACCAAGTGGCCAGTCAAACATTTTGTTCTTCTTCTTCTGCTAGTGACTCATCTATCCATCATTCATTCATTCACTCAATAAACATTGACTTAGTACTTTCTGTATAGTAGGAACTAGAAATCAAATGCTGAGCTAAAATAGACACCATCAGTCCTCACAGAGCTCACAGACTGCAAGGGAGACAGGCGTTCATCCTAAAACCACACAAATGTGTGTGAAGTCACAGCTGCATCACATCCTACAATGGGCAGGTAGGGACATGGCGCTGTCCAGGCATTGAATGGGGTAGTTGGCAAGTCTGGAAGTCAGAGAAGTGTTGATTGCACCAGATCTAAAGGGAAAGAGGAGAAGGAAGAACACTCAGGCATAGAGAACAGGACATAGAAAGCCCTGCAGCAGGAGGGAGCACAGCGAGCCGGGAGGAGAACCAGGGAAGCTGAAGCAGGGTTGGCTGAGGGAGGAAGGAAAGAGCTGAATCCAGTGATGTGGGGAGGCAGGGAGTGGGCCCCGGGGAGCCTCCCAGACCCTTTAAAGATCCCTGGGAGGCACTAAAGGACTTAAAGCAAAAGAGGCATGTTTACAGGGCATCCTGGACCTGGACATTTTGCAGTGGAGGAATCACTTTGGCAACAACATAGAGAGTGGAGAAGGTCTTCAACTAGATGTGGATAGACCAGCTAATCAGAGGCTACTGCACTGATCCAAGTGCAAGATAAACCAAGGAGCAAGTATTTATGGGACATCAACCATGTGCAAGGAGCAGTTCCAGTTGGGGTCAGGGGCAGCGATGAGGGAGCAATTACAAAGACGTGGAAGACTCATTGCTGTGCTTTCAATTGCTTGCTGCCTGGTTAGCAACAGAAGACTCAAACTTGAAAGGCTTAACACCAACAAGGAGAGAGATACTAATAGCTCAGTGCAGCCATACAGGACTTGTCATTGGCTGGGATGTGTTAAATTAGCAATCTGAAAATGTGGGGAGGAACAAAACCAGCAACAGTGGGGTTGGGAGCAGCTTCCCAGAAGAGCAGAGGAGGGGAGAGGAGAGGTGGGCGCTGTCTTCTGGGGTAGAAGCAGATGTGGCAGAAGTCTGGCTCTGGGGACAGCAGGAGGAGACAGTTACAAGTGAGGTGACACGTTAGAAAGTGTTTAAAAGCCTGAGAGCAAGAGGCTCATTCTATGGTGAACCACCTATTTGGCAGGAGCAGAGGGCTTAGGGAGGCGAGGAGCTTGGGGACGGCAAAGTGTTTCTCCAGATGTCCCCGTTGTGGGGAAAGCAAAGCTTCTCTGATGGCTGCCAAGGCAGGTTTGCCCGACCTGCTGTCTCCATGCAAGGTCCCATCAGGCGCTCCCGATGCAAGAGCACAGCCAGGTGCATCCGCCGGCCACCTGTCAGCTGAGCTCATCTGCTGTGAGCCCCACCCTCACTGTGAGTCAGAGGAGCTGCTGCAGCTGTCCCACAGCTGGCGCCCAGCACTGCGCCCCTGCTGGGGGTGGCTAACGTTTACTAAGGCGGTAGTTCTCAGCCTCGGCCACTCGTGGAGTCACCTAAGGGCTTTAAAAGTTACTAACACCTGGGTCCCACACCAGAAAATTCTGGTTTAATTGATCTAGGGTGCAGCCTGGGCTTTGGGTTTAAAAAAAAAAAAAGCTTCGGGAATGATGCCAACGTGTAGCTGAGGTTCAGAACTATTGAGGAATTAACAACACATCCTTTCCTGACTGCCTTAGCAGGAGCTGTTTACATTGCGAGAAGCACCCCCTGAATGCCTTATGGAAGCTTGCCTTCTTATCCTCTGCCCATTTGGAAAAACCTGTATTTGCCCTCCCTTTAGTCATTTTTATTTGTTAGGCTTTTAATTGGCATATGCAAATAAATGTCATTAAAAAGGTTTGATGGTATAGTGCAATATTATTTGTTGTATTTATGAATATTCTATATATGCCTTAAGTCAGACTTCATTCTAAAATTGAAGTAGATAGTATTTATTATCCACAAACCAAGGAGTGCATTATACTGTACATTTCAGATCTCACATTAGGAAGCCACACTTTAGACAATAAAACTGAATGAGCACTTTGATGAATAAAAGATTTTAGCATATGGACATTTTTTTATTTAGGTTGACAAGCCACTTGGAGTCCATTGCCACGTCTTCAAAGAGACATATGACATTCTTTAAATGCAGGCCAATTCATACAAAGACATGTAAATGCAAAATTAAAAGATGTGGGTGAGTAGAACTACATTTTAAAGGCAGTCAGGAAATGTTCTGTGAATGCAGTCGGGGGCTTGCTATCGAAAAGCTGTGGGATGAAGTTTTATATAAAGTGAAAAACTAATGGCTCCATTTAACTTTGTTAAAATTTTGAATTTTCTACCCTACACTTATTTTTGCAGAAGTTGGCATGCCTCTGTAGTTGTCCTCAATTGCTTTGCCATTTGTAATATTTTTTTCTCAGCCCAAACTGTTTTACATACACAGTATAAATTCCCCAAAGGCTAAATGACCTCCAAACGTGTTCTTAAAAATATTTTGCAAAGTCTGAAGACAGGAAAAGTAAGTGTAAAACATCTAAGAGATTTATTGGAATCTCAGCTTGAATTCTAATTGCGAGTACTTATGAAAATGTCAATATTAACATGAAATAGCTGGCAGTTTTTCTAATAAATGTAAATTGAATTAGATAGTGTGTAATTGGAAAAATACTTGCTTCACTCAGGTTTCTCAAAACAAGACTCAGAATTTGTTAGCTGCGGCGCCCTTGCCCTCTAATGGCTGGAAGTTGAAGGACAAGGCTAAAATACTTTTGACTACAAGGAGGATAGAAACTAAGAGGAGGGAATGTCTGACTATTTGTCACCATATTGAGGACAAAGCGTGCTTCTTCCCAAAGCATGGAGCATAATGTCGATGTTAGCGTGAGCTTATTATTAAAAGGAGGTGGGTGGGTGGGGAGCCAAGGCCATGCTAAGTATCTTGGAGCTTCAGAATAATCTTGGTTAGAAACAGGTATTATAGATGCCTAATCT